CACTCCCATTTTTATGATATCCGTAAATGTTATATTATAAAATTATTATTATTATTATTATTATTATTATTATTATTATTATGTTATTTTTTATTATCCGTGAATGTTAGCAACTGGACAAATTGAATGCAGCGGTCAAGGAAAAGCGACCAGAATTGGTCAATCGTAAAGGTGTCATTTTCCAGCAGGACAATGCTAGGCCGCACACGTCTTTGTCCACTCGGCAAAAATTGATGGATATTGGTTGGGAATTGATGTTACACTCACCATATAGCCCTGATCTCGCGCCATCGGATTACCACTTATTTCGGTCCCTGGACAACTCCCTTCATGCTAAAACTTTTAATGACGATGACGCTGTAAAATCTCACTTAACTCAGTTTTTGGCCGAAAAGGATCAGACTTTCTACGAGCGTGGAATTTTCAAGTTGTCAGAGAGATGGCAAAAGGTCATCGAACAAAATGGAAAATACATTACAGATTAAACTTCAGTCCAAGTAAAAAAATTTTTTATTTCATTGAACAAATCGGCGATTACTTAGTTGCCAACCCAATAGATGAACGCCGAGTAAAACGCGATTCTTGTTATTACTTTAATCGCGATAATGATGTAACTGCTCACTGCGAAGAAAAAAGGTCCCCATTATGAAACGAGTTGAGCAGAAGTTAATTCCCCGGTTAACAAGTTAATTACGGCTCCTAATCTCTCGTATGCACTCGCCGCGCTGCAAGTACCGCCGAAATGCTAGACCTGGTTGCATACAAATAATGGTAGTCCTATCTGCACGATCCGCCTCGCTCTGTCTACGTCTATTATCATTCAGTTGCATTCCCGGCGGCCGCGACGAGCATCCGAGCACAAAGCATCAAAGAAATTGCTGCGGTGGCTGTCGTTCCTTGACCGAGCTTGAGCAGCGCAGATTGAAAGAGGAGGACCAATAAACGCTGGCGGTGTACTCCACACTCCCAGAGTATCGTAAGATCTCCGATGACGTCGTCGCACCACGTTGCGGCAGCCGTCGCCGCGTATCCCATGATCCCCTTGACGGAAGCTGCCCATTAGCCGGGCAATGATGATGCCAACGGACACCCAGGTCACCAGCGTAGCGGTGCCGAGCAGAGGCCGGCACTAACGATAGCTTTCTGGACTACTCCCGAAGCGCCTCGACGCTCATCGGCTCCTCATTCGCGATCTTTCGGTATAGTGATCCCCGACTCCTAGGTCAAGGTAGTCGACCGATCCTCTTCTCCGGCTTGGACCCATCGGAAACTTCTTCCGCGCTCCTTTTCCTCGAACCGTCCGAACAGTCTTCGCCGAAGCGATCGAAGTCTGCTGCTACCAGAAGATCCTGGGCCATTCAAATCCCCCGGTAGGAGATCCCCGGTCTAATTGCCTCCTACGGCACCTAACGTTCATTCCGACCCGACTGTTTTCGATTCGTTCCGATTGTCGTCCAGCCGTGTTTGGCCAGCTCGGAGTGAATCGAGCCGAGCTCCGCAAATTGCCGATGCAGCCCGTGCTCCGGCCGATTAACACGTACGTGCCGGTGATACCGATTCATACGAAAAGGTAAAAGAGCTTCGCCGACTCGGACCTGGGACCAGTTATCCGCGGGCGGTTGGTTCCGACGTTGACGGCTACCTGTCGATAACCGGCGAACGTCTTCGCGCGATAAACGTCGAGTGCGGTTGTCGGGTGCGCAAACAACAAGATATCTCTCGTCAGTTGCTGTGAAGTGAATCGAAACGCGGAACGCAGGAGTTAAAGAGGCCAGGTGTACGGCCGTCGTTCAGGAACGAGTTGTGCGATCGCTGATGTCGAGTCGATCGATGAGTGTATAGAGAGAGTGGTTCTTGTTTACTGTGGTGAATCGGATCAATGGAATTTCGGGGAACTACCGAGTTCTTCTAACACGCGGTGACATCGAAAGCGATGACCAACGATTACGCTAGATTTCGTCGCAGTTTCGCTTCGCAGATTTCCAGGAAGTATTTCACGAGGGATAGAGGAAGCTACCACGTGTCCCACATGGACGGGTATGAGATCTTTTTGTTTCATATACTTCCGACAGATCGGAAAGGAACTCTATTGTTTACGCGAGATGGCATTGTTTCCAACTTGCAACGTTGTCTACGTGATTATAGTTAATTTAATTCCGTTGTGCGTGTCTGTCGAATAGGTATCCGGAAAAGGCAATGGGAGGATCGTGAGTCTATGAATAGCAGACACAGATGTTTTATGATCTTTTTTTTGTAAAGAATTTCATTCGCTTGTACACTATTTGCACAGAAGGTGCAAATAAAACTACTAAAAACCACCTGGTATGATAACTGTATACACTTACTGACAAAAGTTAAGAAACAACGTAATCGTTTGATACATTTCGGTATATTCTTTATCTTCTAAAATACATAGGTTGGAACTAAAAATAGCATAATAAGTTAGCATCCCATATATGAATGATCAATGAGTTTTCTCAAACATACTTGTACGAGAGCCATAATTAAATTGAATCGAAGAAATAAGGCAAAAGCTGCGCGACATAAGTTAAGAAACATACATCGCTTAAGTTATATAATCACATTTAATGAAAAACAGCGATGTGTCAATGTCTGTAGTTTTCATAACAGTCTAATAAGATGTTAGATAACCCTTGGATTTGAGGACTGCATTGCATCTGCGTGGTATAGATTCAATGAATCGAACACAAAACTCAGTCGGCATTTCTGACCATATTTTCGTGATCGTTTTCATTAATTCTGCTTTATTGTTGAAAGAGTGACTTCCCAACTGACGTCCAATGTAATCCCACAGGTGTTCAATTGGGTTCAAATCCGGGGATCGACTTGGCCACTTGATTACATTAATATTTTGTTCTGCAAGTAACCAACTTGGAAGAATGTTTAGAGTCGTTATCGTGTTGAAATAACCACCCTGATGACATTTTCTCATTGGCAAATGGCAGCATATAATGTTGTAAGATGTCACGATATATAATACATAATTCTATCCATTGTTTCTTTTATTTGTACTAAACGTTACGCGAGAAACAACCTCGCACCGTTACATTGCCGTCACCAAATTTTACCGTCGGTTTTAGGTATTTAACATGAAATCGTTGTCCAGTAGGGTGTCGCACATTATTTTTAGAGTCGTTTCCAAACCGGTTTAGCGCACTCTCATTGCTCCATACAATTTTTGACCACTCGGTAGTAGTTCAATTAAGGTGTTCAATAACAAATTCCAACCGAGCTGCTCTATTTTTCTTCGACACAAGTAGTTTCTTGCATGCTCTGCGTGAAAAAAGATTATTTTCATCTAAACGACGTAAATTGTCTTAATTGACTTAATTGTCCTTAATTGTCCTGTTACCAATGTTTTCCAGGCACAGTTGATTTTTAATTTCAAAAACAGTGTAAAATGGACTCGACCTAGAAAATCTTGCAATTCGACGATCTAGTTTTTCATCTGTTTTTCGCGGTCTGCCAGTTCGTGGTGCCGTTTTAACAGTTCCATATTCATCGAATCGTTTTATAATTTTGGTGATAAGTCACTCCTTTAACAATAAAGCCGAATTAATAGAAACAACCACGAAAATATGGTCAGAAATTCCGACTGAGTTTCGTGTTCGATTAATTCAATCTATATCACGCGCAGATGCAATGCAGTCCTCAAATCCAAGAGTTATCTAACCTCTTATAAGACTGTTATGAAAACTACAGACATTGACACATCGCTGTTTTTCATTAAAAGTGATTATATAACTTAAACGATGTATGTTTCTTAACTTATGTCGCGCAGCTTTTGCCTTATTTCTTCGATTCAATTTAATTATGGCTCTCGTACAAGTATGTTTGAGAAAAAACTCATTGATGTATGGGATGCTATCTCATTATGCTATTTTTAGTTCCAACCTATGTATCTTAGAAGATAGAAAATATACCGGAATGTATTAAACGATTACGTTGTTTCTTAACTTTTGTCAGTAAGTGTATTTAAAGACACAATGCTGTGCCAATCAGTTTCTTCGTGTCCGTATGAGCCGTTCGTGTTATAAAAATTGAAAACATACCGCATGATACATGTGATTTCAAACTGATATGAAACAATTCTTTGAAGAAAAATTTAATAGCGAGATTTATATTGATTAAAAATTCTGTTGACCCTTTTCAGTGCACATGTACGCGATATAAACAAACAAGTTTGATTTAAAATGTCTTCTCTCAGGTCTCAGAATCTAATTTATCTTTAATATTAATGCTATTGGTGCGAGCAATATATTGCCAGATAATTAAATAAAAATAAGCCTGAAAAATTTTATGTGTGATTCAGTAAAATTTAAAATATTCTTGCTTCTAGATGATCTGTAATGATTATACTGCTGACGTTTATGCAAAATACAAATTATCTAAACTAACTACAAGATACATAAATTTAGTATTAACGATTAATTCAATAATTTCAGAAGGTTGAGAATGCTACGACAATATTTTTAAATTCTTTCAATATTTTTAGTGTTCTCTATTTGATCGTCTCAGTTTTATCGTAAATTCATAAAATGTCTAAACAATCTAGTCATGATCAAGAAAGTGCACTATACATGCCATCACGTAAGTATGGACTAGACTGCGGATTTTTACGCAAAATAGAAATGTCCGCATTCATTGCAAGCCACAGAAACTGTACAGACATTTATTCCTCTTTTTCTCAATTTTAATAAGTTGTAAAGAGCGCAATAGTATTTTTATGTCTTTTAAACTTATTTCCTGTTTTCTATTTGATTCACTCGTTTTTATCATAAATGCATAAAATCAGCAGTCTAATAATGACTTAATTATCATTGTCGTTTTGTTATTAATAGTTTGTATACATATGGATGTTTACAGATATTAATAGCAACGCGATTCATTGTTTGTCATCGCGTTACAAATACTATTGGAAAGAGAGTTGGTGTTATTTGTTACTCGGCCTCGTATTACGCAGTTATTTGACAGTTGATGTCATTCTAAATCGCAACCGCTTTCATCACTGTTGACTATGGAAAATTAATACGACCGACACTGTTTGTTGAAACAATATTGCGAACACTCAACCGAACAATAAGCTCGGACGAAATAAATTATTCGAAACAATTAAGTGGTAAATATTGCGACAGCGGCAAATTCGAGTTGCATAAATTATTTTGAGTAACGTTATGCGTCGGACATTATTCTCCCTTAACGCCCCATAATAATGCGGATTGTATTTACATTCCCTTGACCTCTCTACGAATTAGGATTAGTTAAAATCACCTAATACAATATATGATTACTAGAAATTGACCTAAGAACCGTTTTCAAGATATTCATTTATCTTAAAGTCTTTCGAGAAAAGTTTGTTAGTACATTCAAAAAAGGTTGTTATTAGTTTAAAAATGATTGTTACTGATTTCAACAAAGTTCGTTATTGCTTTCGAGAAAAGCTATTATTTCAGCAAATTCCAAGTTTATGGAAACCACAGTATGTTCTATTTAATTGTGCTCTTTTATTTGAGTTGTCAAGAATAGTATAAAGAGATAATGATTGAACTAAATATAATATTTCTATGCTGGCTATCATTCATTTGTACTACGAATTAGAAATTCTACTAAAACAACAACCACGGTGTTGGTTCGATGAAATCTTCATCGAACAACGTAAAGTCAAATTTCAATTCTCAACATCAAATATTAAAGAGGCAAAATAAGGAATAATTCATTAGCACATTTACAAGGAAATTTCTGTGAACCGAAAATTCCAGTTCTATTAAAACTTCGTAGATTTGTAGTGCACATTTCGAGTGAAGAATCAAGCAATTTTTTTCATACGTTTTGCATTTTTTTACGCAATATTGTGCGTACTCGACGAATCTTCAAACACAAGTTTCAACGAAAACTCGAGCAGGAAAATGTTGTTCCATATTTTTGACTCGCCTTTTCATATGAAATCGACTCGTCGCTGCAGTATTTTTTCCATTATTATTTCACCGCGTTTATTTTTTTGCATCACACCATTATTCTCTACGAAAGTAATTAAAATGATAACTGCAAATAACCAGCATCCGTGGGCTTATTGCACTTGCAGTTCCTGCATCACGATCAGCTGTTTTCAACCATTTTCAATGCATTCCAATAACATCTTTCTCCGATGGTTCGTTTAGTATTCGAACATTGAATGTTAGGATCTTTTATAACTTTGGGTATCAGTTTTTCTAACATATTTTTTGAGGTACTCCTCCTAGAAAAGTTAATTTTTCTATGGACATTATTGAAACATATGAACATTTGTATCAATATTATCATAAATTAATTAGCCAAATAATATTTATACTATTAACATATTGTCGGCCGGCTATTTTACAACGTTTGGGCATAAGGACAAGAGTTAATTCGTGACTGGTCGTCGATGTGTTAATATTTATACCAAAGAATATTTATTTATCCCAAGCCCCTTCGTCTGAGAAACTAAATATGGCAAAAAGTATTCGAACATCTTTTAAAGAGCAATAACCTTTTTAAAACTGGACTAACTCACTTATATTTATTTCAATGTTAAAGGGACTAGTTTGCTGTACAATTACTAAAATACTTCTTCTAATTTTATTATTACTTGGAATGACAGACCAAGTAAGAAACTCTCGTTTTTCAACTTTTTTATCTGAACCTAAAACGAAAATTTAAAAAATTCGTTTTGTAGATCACGGAAACTTATATGCATACTGAAAATTTCATTGAAATCGGTTGACGTTGCGATGACATTTAAAATTCGTGAACATAGCAGTTCCTCACGAATTTCAACGAAAAATAGGTAATTTTCATACCTTTCAGTGGCTGTACTTTGACCATGCGTCAACCGATTTCAATGAATTTTTCAGTACACATATAATTTACCAAGATCTACAAAACGCATTTGCTAAATTTTCGCTCCAGCTACATCTTTCCGATACAAATGTTAAAAAACGAGCGTCTTTTATTTCTTCTTGTCGTTCCAAGTAATTCAAAATTTAAAAAAGAATGAATTAGTCCTTGTACAATGATCCAGTCGGATCATTTAGTCGAGTTTCGAAAAAGTTATTGCGTTTTAACTCTTGCAGAACGCGAACATGGGTCACTCGGGGAAAAAAATTATACTTTGGAATCTGCTTGTGCTTGATTTTGGCATGGTTCACAAAATGACCCAGGTTCCGTCTCCGCAAGGTCCATCCGTTAAAAACTGTTGGAATACATCTCGCCAGTGGATGTAGATCATTCGAACATCTCGCGAAATACTTCGGCAAAGAACAATCGCAGCGTCGACTTGAATCTAGAAATTCTGTTCGCAGACTCGGTGTACTGGTGCACCACGGAAGAGCGAACAATGGATATGAGAAGAGGAGAGGCTAAGTAGCAGGCTGCAGGTACAGGAACAGAAAGGGCGAAGCGATAGGTAAGACCGACCAAGGAAGTAGGCTCGAGCAGAGAGACAGCCAGAGAAGAAGACACGAATCAGGCGGGATCGAGGACGGAAGCGAAGATCCGTTTGACGGGGAACAGTTGAGAAAGCCGAGAGCAGACGAAGATTCGCGTAAAGATGAAGAAGAACAGTTTGTGGACGGTGATTTGGACCGTGTTTCTAGTGATGGGCTTGGCTGTCGCGCAAACGTCGCAGCTATGCCCGTCACCCAACGAGATCGCGCCCTGTTCCTGCACCCTGAAGAAATCCGGCCTGGACATCGTTTGCGAGTCCACAGACCTGACGCACATCACCAATGCCATGAAGGCGCTCAAAAGTAGAACCAACGCGGTCATATTTTACCTGCGTCTCAGGCACAACAGCTTGCCGAAACTGCAGCGCTACGTATTCCTCGGCCTCGTTATCCACCATCTTACCATTCACAACAGCAGCCTCGCGGTACTCGAGGAGTCTTCTTTGAGTTCCATCGGTGAGTGCTCCGCCTTAAAAAGAATCTCATTCAACGTGCAGGTATTCACCAGTACGAATTCATTTCGATAATCCAAGACACGTTTCACGGACTTGGTGCTCGTGATAAGCTCTGTTTCATTAATTGGAGCAAAAATTGACAAATGCATACCGATCGCAATAATTTTCTATTATTTGCGTACACTGGTGTTTTAGAGAACAATCGCTTTTTTTCTTCGTCTCAGCAGGATTACCCCGAATTAGATGGGACAGTAAGTTTGAAAGAAGTCAAGGGGGCCTCGATTTGTTATCGAAAAAGAATAGTTCGTGCAAGTTTTTTATATTTCAACATGTAGCCGACTAAATATTGATTAACTTTCGTTGGAAACATTTTTTTGTTTGTCAGACCGTCGGAAGCAACCTGAAATATAGTGGCAACGGTTACGTGCCACACCCTCTACGCGTAGGGATGTTTATTTTAATCCTGCACGTTGAAATGTCTTCGTTATTTTTGCTGACATAAAAAAATGTGTTAGGACAACTTTGTTCAGTTCAGAGCCAAGAATATTATGACTTATGCCTTTTTTTCTCTCTCTAGGTTATTTTTTTTTCAAGTATCGAAGGTTGTCGCTATTTATTGCACAATAACCCCTATGTTTTATAACGCAGCACTGTGTTGCACATAAAGTCGAGTTCAACGACCTTTCGATACTATGATCTTTAAACGACTTTAAATGGAAAAATCACGCCGGTTTGGAGGCAATCAAGAAATTTAGAAATTTTGATTCAGGAATAATAAATTTATTTATGTTACAAAATATCTTCGATGCTATTCGATACTTGTAAAAATGACCTTGAGATAGAGATAGAGAGAGAGAGAGAGAGAGAGAGAGAGAGAGAGAGAGAGAGAAACATGGATCATAATATTCTTAGCTTTGAACTAAATATAGTTGTCCTGACACTTTCTTCTTATATCAGTAAAAGTAACGAAGATATTTCAATGTGCAGGATAAGATAAACAATCTATATATTTTGAATTTTAATGTTTAAAGAAACAGAGTTTCATTTGACTAAAATTTTGCATAAAACACTGCAATCTGATAACAGAGTCCAACAATAATTTTCTTGTAGCCTTCGATGCGTTGAACACGAATCTCAATTTCATTTCGAAGAGAATGATATAAAGTTCCAAGTTTAAGAATATTTGTATAACAATATAAATATTTGAACATGTTTAAAGAGTGTTCAAGGAGATCGAGACGGCCTTGACAGATCAATTTTTTGTCGGACATTTTTCAATTCACTTGGAAAACAAAATTTCCGAAACTGACAGAGTTACAGCGATTCGAAAGAAACAATATGAAGCAAGGTGCAAATTTGACCCGTGTCTGACTGTCGCGTCGCGTCGTCAACGTTTCACGGCTGGCGAAAGGACTCTCCTTTCCGGAACGTTATTCTCTCTATTTTCTTCTGCTTCTCCTTCGTTTTCATCCAGCACTTTGGAAAAAATACGTTGAAAATGTAGCGACAGGCGAACCGAGCGTACACATCAAATGTAAGGTCAATTGGTTGAAAAGATCTTGATATATTGCTGCTGTCCGGATACTTTTTTCTTACGGGGCTGCCTGATCGATCATCTCTACCAAGCGCAACATTCATTTTTCAATATAAATATAAATGCATATAAAAGTATACGTAAAATAAAGATGAAGGTATACGTAAAATAGAGATGAAGTAAAGCCTACGTAAATAGAACTATAAAATAAAGGATAAATTGCTGTGCAATATAATACGCGAAGTACAATATCGTGTTTCAGACTAGAACAATAACTCTAAAAACAAGTATTTTGAATGGCTAAAATGAATTTAGATATTCAAAATGATAATTGACGATTTTGATACGATGACAATTTGTTAAACTGCACCATTCTAATTCTATTTAATCACTGTCAATCTTTTAACTTTTACAATCTACTAATCTTAGTATTTGCTACTATTACTACTTGTACTGTTTATATTAGTATGAATTTCTTTATGGATATGAAAATATAATTTATGGACTAAATTTAAATATTCAAAATGATAACTGACGATTTTAATATGTTGAAAATTTGCTAAACTACATTATTCTGATTCTATTTAATTACTGTCAATCTTTTAACTTTTACAATCTACTAATCTTAGTATTTGCTACTATTACTACTTGTACTGTTTATATTAGTATGAATTTCTTTATGGATATGAAAATATAATTTATGGACTAAATTTAAATATTCAAAATGATAACTGACGATTTTAATATGTTGAAAATTTGCTAAACTACATTATTCTGATTCTATTTAATTACTGTCAATCTTTTAACTTTTACAATCTACTAATCTTAGTATTTGCTACTATTACTACTTGTACTGTTTATATTAGTATGAATTTCTTTATGGATATGAAAATATAATTTATGGACTAAATTTAAATATTCAAAATGATAACTGACGATTTTAATATGTTGAAAATTTGCTAAACTACATTATTCTGATTCTATTTAATTACTGTCAATCTTTTAACTTTTACAATCTACTAATCTTAGTATTTGCTACTATTACTACTTGTACTGTTTATATTAGTATGAATTTCTTTATGGATATGAAAATATAATTTATGGACTAAATTTAAATATTCAAAATGATAACTGACGATTTTAATATGTTGAAAATTTGCTAAACTACATTATTCTGATTCTATTTAATTACTGTCAATCTTTTAACTTTTACAATCTACTAATCTTACTATTTGCTACTGTTGCTACTTGTACTGTTTAAATTAGTATAAATATTCTTATTCATAGATGTGAAGATAGTATCAGTAATTTTTGAACTACTGTTAGATTGTTATAAAATTTATCGAAATAGTATAGTACGTTTTTAGAAAATTTGGATATTGTACGTTCACGTTTCAAAGTCTGCTTTAAATATGCACTTTCTTGTGATCCACATCCGATTCAATATTTCATTTCTCACCTTTACTATTTTTCCTTCTCTTAGAGGTGCACTCTCATGTGCCGATTTCTTTGAAATAGTGCCTCTAAGAAATTACATTCTTGAATCTCTTTTGCATCTTTTCCTCACGGATTTCCACCTTGCTTCGTCTTTCTTTGCTTCTTTTTTTCTTGAAACTCATTACCCCCATCCTTCCCAAAGGAATATTTTCCTAAGAGGCTAGGAACATTTTCTAAAAATTGTTAGAATGGCAACCGAATGCTAGAATTCCACTGTAAATCAATAACCTCGGCCGCGTCTGTTCTACCTCCGTCTTATCCTGCCATGTGCACCGCGAATATAATGAATAGAATTGATGGACATCCGTATCTCACGAGGGACATTATTAAAGTGAAACGCGTCGACTTTGAATCTGTCTGAAAAATATTTCACACCTATTTCTTTTGACGTTCGGCAAAGTGTTGGTATGATCTCGAATATGACGTACATATACACCATGGCTGAAGACGAGACCTTTATTTCATTAAAATTAAAAATTATTAGTTTAGCTGATATTTCTTAACTTCAATTTTGAGAACTTTACATGTGGATTTTGCTGTGCCCAAAAGTGCATATTACGTGCATCAAGATTACCATAATTATGTAAATGTACTTTTATCAGAAAATAACATTAAGTATCTGCTAAACTAAAATGTGGATTTTCGTCAACTAATCTATGAAAGAAAATATGATTATAGTTAAAAAAAGGAAAGGTAACCTTGAAATCTCTAAAAATTCTGCAGCTGCAAGATAATGATTACCATTATATTATTGGTCTCCACGAACTGAATAACTTTTGTTAATAAAGTTTCTCAGTATCTTTAAAAATAGCAGAGATATATAAATTGAACCTTCTTAAGCTGGGACACTCGTTATACCATGGCGAAGGACAAACCCTTCATTGTTTAACAATCACTTGTAAAAATATGTAATTTGTGGGAATTGCGCTTAAAAACTTTTTATGCCGGTATGAAAAAAAGCGAGCGTATTGTAGAGACAAAGCCTGGTAAATATTTTCCATGAAGCTATTTATTCAGAAATTTTAAGAACATGATATTTTTTAAAATTATTATTAATTATACTTTTCGTTTGTTTATAAATCTGTCAAACTGTCAATATATTGAAATATGTAGGAAAAAAGGTACATTGAACATATTGCAGAAACGTGCATCCAAATTTTGATATTTCAAAGATATTTCAAGATATTTCATTCGAGTACATTAACTTCCGTTCTCACCGTGACTTTCATAAACGCGATTACGTAAGTCCCTTGTACCTTTCATTTTATTAAAGAAATTTAATTATTTAATTGAATTATTAGAGAAATTCAAAACGAAGAAGTACGGCTCTATTTCTGGCGTCATTCGACACAGCCGTGTCGCATTAATTTGTAAGTCGGATAATACAGTCGTGAATCGCAGTCACATTACAAGAGATGACAGTGGAAGCTTGTGCTTCGTCACGTGCTGACGTTAAACGGGATCTATTTTAATTTAATCGCAGTTTTGATGTCACCGAGGGGTCCCCGTTTGTTTCTCCTGGACCGGCCCTCAGTCTTTAATACTTGCCGCATAATTAAAACCTTTCCTTTCAAATTGTTAACGATTCTTTCAGCTTGATAAGAGAGACAGTCGCGATTTAATATTGACAATTGTAAAACAAAGATAGATTTCAAGTTTGAATCGTTTCGAAATGTTTTCGTAGTATTTTACTATTCGCTTTCGTAATGATAAATATTTAAATTAAATATTTAATTATTACCAAGCCCACTTTTCACGAATTATTCTTTCAAAATCAGAATGAAAAAATTTTAGTTACCAACTAGATAATTTTTCTTATGATAAACATAAAGTAGAAATTTCATTAACGCTTGTGTAAATACCATTAATGCATTAATAATGCATTAATAATATGCACGAATAAAAAGTCAAACATCTTCAAAATTAACGAATTATATTTTTATTTGATAACTTGAGTATTCGGATAACTAAATAAAAATTTAAGCGCAAATTGGAAATTAAAAATTCGCACACAAGGTAAAAATTTATTTAACCGTATTGTTAAAGGAATTTAAAGGGCGCGATTTAAATTTATCGCATCTAGAACACCTACATACATATAATTACGTGAAACTTCAATTACTAAAGACTCGTAAACTTTGGTACGAGATTTTCCCTTAATTTGAAGATGGACGAAATTCAGGTGTAATAAAGTAGATCCACGGATCTTTATGTATATTCTCATCTCCATGCATTATTCTACAAGAATTCGAATTAAAAAAGTTCCTTTCGTCGACTAAAAATTTGCTAGACGTTTTCTTAATGAATACGTTTTCTTACATTTGAAAGATCTGCTGACGCCGTAAACTCGCAAAGATCCACGGTCCAGTAATAACGTTCGAATCATTGATTAGAAAATGATCGACTAATTTCATGTAACCATGTTCATCCACAGGAACTCAATTGACGCAGCTGGATCTATCGCAGAATGCTTTGATCGCGGTGCCAACGGTCGCGTTGCAGGGTCTTCACCAGCTGCTTATTTTGAATATGAACCACAATAAGATCAACGCCATCCACGGAAAAGCCTTCGAAGGCCTCGACACTCTTGAAATCCTTTCCCTGTACGAAAACAAGATTAGCAACATCGATTCGGACGCTTTTAAAGGATTGCATAAGTACGTTCTTTACCCCCAGCCTGACCGATGCTTTTCTAGTTCTAGTATACTCTTTTCTTTTATGACTAGTCGATTCTACGAATGCATTTCGGATAGAAGAAGCAAACAATTTCACTACACATTTAACACTCCAATGGCTGAGCGTCCGGGTCCATTTGGACCCGGAGTTGAAAGATTATTTGAGTACCAAGATTCTGGCAACTAAATTCAATTTTCACACGTTTCATTCAAGTTTCTAGAAGAACTAAGATATCTGGAAGAAGTATTTTACAAAATCTATTTAAAAACGTTGAGAAAAAAAAGTAATATTATAAATGACCCGGAGCATACTTGACCGTAATTTTCTTAGAAAGATCTGTCGTTCGAGTGTTAAACTACACAGCAATCATCGATCTCGAAATTGTCGATAGTTATTTTAATATAATTAACAGCAATAACATCTGCAATACGGATGCATAAAATTTTCCGAGAAAAAACGAACGAAAATAATTACGGTAGAATCTCGATTATCCAAATCATTGACGTCCATTGACATCTAAATACATTGCACATGTAATTAGATCGATAATGTGCATACAACACTGTTCATTGCGCAAATCGATAGAGATTCGATTGTACAGTTCAACACATGCACACGCACACACACACACAAACACATTTGTGTCCTGTATTAGTTCGAATAATCGAGGGCGTTTCTCGTCGCAAAGAATTAAGATCGTTCTGATCGTTGATGTACAACGTTTCGTCAAACAATTATTTTGCCTGACTATTTTTAAGTTACACTGTTGTTTCGGACCGAACAGAATAATAACACGACCTTGTCGCCTGAAATTCCGAGATTCGATAGAATGATACCGCTTCGGCAGAACACACCGCTTCGCGTAGGTAGTTCAAAAACAGGTCTAACGCGCGGCGATTGGTGTACAGGGCACACATGTACGAAAACCGCGCGTTAGGGTGGGTGATATGTAAATACGAACACATAAATTATAGCAGGAAACTAAGGAGACTAAATCTTGGCGGAAACGAGTTGACCAAGGTGCCAACAGAGGCATTGCTCCCCCTGGACATGCTGAGGAAATTGGACATTCCGGAGAACCGAATTACCAGGGTTCAGGAGGGCGATTTCGAAGGTAAGGTTCGCTGAAACGTCTTGCTCAGCGTCGGCCAGGTAAAACCGAGCTTCCTTCGCTTCCTTCCTTGTCGATTAATATTCACATGAATCATTCACGGAATTCCTGGTTCACCGGCTGCAACCGATTTCACCATTATCCGGGCTCTTGTTAGAAATTTTAGTAGCTTTTCCGTTCACAAATGTCGTTAGACGGGCTTTCTTATACGATGTTCGATAGCGTTCTTCAATTTATCAAAACTGACTGGAACTTGCAAGGGATGATGCCCAATTCGGAATTTTTAAAAATTCTGATGCTTCGGGGTTACGTAGAGCGTACGTAGACATGTACAACGGAATTTGTTCTTCTTCCCTAGATTTTAAGACCTTGACTGCCGCGTCATCGGTATGCGAATGACGAAATTATTTAAAATTTAACTTTCATGCTAATCCATAAAAATTCCTTAATTTTATTAAGAAATAGAAATCGATGTCATATAACCTTGCTTTACATGTTTCATTTAATTGATTAAAATACTTTAATTCTATGCATTTTTTAGATGCTTTCGTCGCAGCCGTCGATGCGTGAAGGGATGGAAATTAACCCTAAAATATTCGGCTATTTTCTATTTCATTGATATAATTCGCAAACTCTACAAGATAGAAAAAATGTCTGCGAACAAAAATTACTTGTTTTGTCCAAATCTATCATGTGATATAGGATTTGTTAATTGTTTAAACAACCGGAGAAAGATATAAACAACGATATTTTCCGTATATTACGCGATAGATTTGGACAAAACAAAGCAACTGTTGTTTTAAGACTTTTCTCCATTTTGTGCAATTTGCGAATTATAGCAATAATATAAGAAAATAGCCGAATATTTGAGGATTAATTTACATCCATGAATTTACGCAAGAAAATAAATTGCGCAATATATGTAATATCTACGTACGCTCTCCGTATCCTCGAAGTTTCAGAATTTCTTTTATTTCCGGATTGGGGATCATCCCTTGTTATTATAATGCTACAGACGTAAAACTGCAGATCAGTAACATCCTCTTTGCTTTTCCAACTTTGCAGACTGTTTCTAAAGAATTAGAAACTTATGTAGCTGTGTTATATATTCTTTCTAATAATAGACAACTTTTCTATATGATATTTATGTGTCCATCGATTTTAGCATGACTCACGTGTACCTAATATAATGCAACAGCTAAAACATACTAGATGCACAGACAAAAAACGTGCTATTTGCTTCTCGAATTTTTAAAATTTTCCAAAGGCATCGGAAACTTGTGTAGCTTTATAAAATACTATTATTAAAAATAGACGACTTTCTCATGTAATATTCAAAAAATATCTGTTTAAAAATTGTAACTATAAATTTGACATAACTCACATTGTGCCTAAAATAATTCCATGCATAGTTGCAAAATATTAGTTGCACAGACACGACGCGTGTTATTTGCTTCTCCAATTTTACAATTTCTAAAGGATTAAAAACTTGTGCAGCTTTATAAAATGATCATCGTCCGTGATCTTTGTCGTTGCTTTCACTGAAAAGCTGAAAACATTTCGAGGAAAGTTGTGAATAGAATTGTTCTTATCGGAAAATCAAAATGGCGGATCAAACGACACCGGACGAATTGAAATCGTGCAAGTTTGAAGTGTCGATAGTAAACGATCTCTTTTTACAGGATTGAAAAGCTTGGATTCGTTAGGTTTGGCTCGCAATCAGCTTCGCGATCTTCCGGGCCGTGTATTCTCCCACTTGACGCAATTAAACTCTTTGGAGCTCGATGGCAATCAGATTACCCACGTGGATCCGGATGCGTTCATCGGTCTTGAGGGTAAGTGTGTCCATTGGCTTGTTACACGTAGTTCCTTTACACTGTCGCCGTGTCAGCTCCACGTTATTTGCAACTAAAATAACATTGACCACGCGACAAACTATGAGTTAATTGGATAAAAGTTCGTTATGGAACTCCGAACGTTATTTATCGATTTCTGTATTCTCTGACAGTACGGGGGACAGGTGAAATACGAAAATAACAGGTTCGGATCAGAAAACAATCGGTATACGACAGACGCTCCGGAAATATATTTGTTGAAATACAAATTGGTTTTCGTAAAACATCGCAGCTATTTTTGAATATTATTTTATTTAACAGAATAATCGTCTCTATAATTTTTTTTTTGCGACAACTCCGTTCGATGTTATAATTGCTACCGTTCTATCAGGTAATGGATGACGTATACTCACCTCCAAAAGTATTAGGACACTTGCAGAAAATTAAATAAATTTGAGAAACCGATAGGAAATCGTTATAATTTCTTCAATTTATTTCAAAGTTAATTGTATTGTACTGTAACAAGCACATTTACATGTACAATTACATTGTAACAAAAATAACGTCAATTATCTAAGAGAAAATTAAATTTCTTTCTCGACAATATATCCACCGCGGTTTGTAATTATGTACTTCCTGGACTAATTTCGGCATCCGTTTTATTAGTTTATCAATTATTTCAGATTCTATTCGATTCCGTGCATTTCGTAGTATGTTCAACATATTTAGAAAACATCGTATGAAATGCACTCATTTTTTTCACGTTTTTAATGAAGGAAATGAAATAAATAGGTAACGTAATTGCATAAGTGACGAACACTTGTAAATGAATACGTAATTTCGGCAATACGATGCCATAAAACTTAATACTAAACATGGAACATTACCAAAACTGAATCAAAAATTGCAATTTATACTAAATTAGCAGGTATCCTAATAGTTTTAGAGGGGAGTGTAAATTTGGTGAGATACTGATCGTAATTTTGTCATAACTCTTGATGAAAGAACTTTTCTAATTTTGAATGAATGAAAGTGTCACAATTGGGAATATTTTCATTAATAATTACGGCACAGTGTCTCGTGATGTGGTTACCGTTTTATCAAATAATTTATTTACAAAAGACAAATCTGTTAAAGCTATCGAAGAATTTCAACGGATCGAATAATTAACTATCTTCTTTATGGATATCACAGAACTTTCATGATCGTTGTTCTCTCCAAACATAAGACGATGACTTAATATTTCATTAATAAAATAAAAATTCTTCGACACTTGCACAAATGGAGACGGAGCCGCCGGCAAGTTTTATCGCAGATCATAAAGGAAGATGGCGGCAAACGATAAAAACCATCTACCTCCGGCGTCTAAAATATTAAGAAAGCATTATTCCATATAGGTCAAAGGTCGACAACAAAGAGTTCGCGTGGGCAGCCGAATGCCCGCGAACCTTTGAAGATCGCTCACTTCAAGCATTATATTTAAATTTCTAAGTTGAATTTTGTATTAATAAATTCATTTAAAGTATATACGCGTTGCACGCACTTGAAGCTCACAACTTCTCCTCCAGCGAAATTGGTAAAGCAAAGTTCCTTTGTTGGAAAGCAGCTATTCGGGTGCCCTTTTTAGCGAGAGAGGTTGCCGACCTTTGACCGCAGATCCCACGGAGTTATAAAGGTCGTTTACTGGAGCATGATGGAAAAGTTATGCGGGTTCGAATACAAAATGTACAGAGTGAAATATTCGATATCGGTTTACCCCTCGAATAGCGTCGAAACAAATATATAAAATGCGGAAGTTTAATCGCTGTTTTACAAGAGGCAGTTGATATTTATGTAACACCTAAAAAAGACTGACACTATGCTATTACCATTGTATCGTATTTTTAACTGTGTGGGTCGCATATACTTTGAACTTTTCCATGCAAGCCATTTTCTCTGTTGAATGTTAGAGAAGGCGTTAAACTGTGCTCCAACGATTAATTGTTGAAAGAAAAATTGCTACATCTTTTTTACAAAATTCATTCGATCGACGAATAACGAATAAGAGCACAATTTTTATTTATTATTCGCGAATGACGAATAACTACATTTTATCGAATGATAATAAAAGTTTTATACAAAATTAGCGAATGACGAATAACTACATTAATTCGGAAAAGATTTACTCGAATAAGAATGAAATTTGTATTCGTTATTCACGAATGACAAATTATTATGTTTATCCGAATAAGAACAAAATTCTTTATAGATTATTAGCGAATGACGAATAACTACATTTATTCGAAAAAAAATAATTCGAATAACAATAAAATTTTTATTGATTATTCAATTCGAAGAATCTCGATTCCTTAACGACTTTTCTTATTTGCATATTCCTTTCTCATTCATTGAATTAATAAGTAGCAGAAATGAAATTGCACACATAGAATTCGCAATGCATCACACTCCGCTAATTGATTTCTATGAAGCATCGTGCAGAAACTCGGCCTAATGTCAGTCATCATTTATCATTTATGACCTCACTGGCATTTTATTACATGCTTGTTGTCCATTCTGTTACAGAGAACCTACAATATTTGCGGTTAGGAGACAACAATTTACACGCGGTACCCAGCGATGCATTGCGCCGTTTACACCGGTTGCGCCATCTGGATTTAAGGGCTAACAATATCAGCACCCTTCCGGAGGACGCTTTCAACGGATATGGAGATTCCATCACGTTTTTGAACCTCCAGAAGAACTTGTAATTTTTTCCAATTTCTTTATCCGACTGCGGATTTTGTACACTTATAGCAAAAATTGATAAAAGAAATACAGAACAGCGAAGATGTCAGATGAATTTAAAAATATTGTTACATTGTTTTCGATTTACTAAAACCATTGAATGAAGGAAAACATTTGTATTATACTGGTGTTTTATCGAATTGTGGTGGGCAATTTTTATTTTGCATACAAATTCGCAGTCGTTATCGCAATCATTATCATTATCTACAAGTATTAATAATCACTAAACCCATATTCTATTTATTACGCTATTTAGGATCAAGGTGCTGCCGCCATTGGTCTTCGAAACCTTGAACTCCCTGGAAACGCTGAACCTACAGAACAACAAGTTAACGCAAATATCTGAAGAAGTGACCGAGAACATCGTCGATACCCTTCGAATTGTCGATATCACAGGTAAATAGCAACATTGTTCTTAGATTCCCTCTGTGATTCCGCTTAGATCGGAACATCGTCCATCTATAAATAATATTATTTGCAACGGGAAATTATAAAACCAACGATTCTCTGGAAGTCTGTTAACCCGAGAAAGATAACCTACGTCGCAGAGGCGCCTGCGAAGACTGTTGATTTTTGTTAATTTTTCATAGAGGTCTAGTGATTTAAGTTTAAAATTGCTTAAAATATAAAAAAATATAATATAAATGCATTTTATTTTTACAATAATGCCAAACCTTTAAAATGACTAGATTAACTTAAATAAATATCCATTGTTAGTATAAAATTGACGCCTTAGAAAAGCATGCGCCTCTGAAGCGTATGGTTATCTTTTACGTACGTTGTC